CAAAGCATGCACAGTTGTAGTCATAGGACTTTAAACTGTGCCCATAAATGGTCTAGATAAAAGTAACTGTGCTTGTCTTTATCATAACAACATCTGGATAGCCAAGTAGATTCAGAACATCCCTTTTCTAGAAACTTGTGGGCATTTATAAAACCCCAAGTTTACTATTTTATTAACACCAAGAAAAAAATAGTTCATTATGAATCCAGGGTTGCCTAAAAAAATCGAGAAGCAGCTACTTATGAAATAAAGCATATATATATAAAATTTGGATTGCTAGCAAAGAATTAAGGGAGAACTGGAATAGCTATTTCGAACTCTTTAGCTAAAACTATATATAAAACTATATAACTATCTATATATACATATACACACATAGTTATACTGTATATAAAACTAGATATAGTTATATACAACTATATAGTCATACAGTTAATTATTCCACATGTTGCTAAAAAGAGGCTGAATGCTTCATTGCCCAGAGGTATTCTATGGTATTTGCCTGACTTATCTGAGTAGGCAAGGTTGGTGTGCTCTGGGTACCTTCAATTAAACAATGTCATATATGCTATTAGGATCCAGGAAACATGCCTTATATGCTTGCCCCCCTGGAAAGAGGTTTCCCCTGAAATCTGGATGGCTCCCACTTTGCTGTTGTTTAGAAGAGCCCTGAAGACCTGGCTCTTCACCCAATTTTGAACTAAGGTGGGTTGGTGCTCTCTTTGTTGAATGTTAGCAGTGGAGGGGCTGTTTTGCCAAAGTCGCCATCTTGCTTTTATTTTGTTCTAGTTTGATTTTGTTGTCTGTCTCTGTTGTATTGTTATTGTATTGTTGATGAACAATATTATGAGTCCGCCCAAAATCGGGTGGCATCAAATGGAAGAATAAAATAAATAAAAATAGATCCTGTGAATCTAAAAGGTGAAGGGAAAGGCTCTCTTGTGTTGAGCTTAATTTCTGGTGACTACATAAACACATTCATGTCATTCTCTTTGCAACAATACACAAGTGATTTGCCTTGTACCTTTGCAGATTTTTTTTCTTTTTTCTTTCTTTGCTTTCCATGCGAGCCTACAACCTATTTCCACATCATCTCCAAGTAATAACCTACATCTAATGCAGGGTGTGTCTGTGCCTTTTCCTCAAATTATCAGGTTAATTCCAAAAGCAACAATTGATTATTGATAGAAATCAGTGCAGACTACCTGAACTGATGTGGAAAAAAACCTAAAGTAAGGTGCTGATTAGTACTGATATGCAACATCTCCAAGACTTGAATTCTTGGGCTATAGGTTAGACTGGGAATTTTAGAAAAAATCTGAGAAGAAACAATGACAAATGAACGTCTGCATGAAGTCACTAGGAGCCAAGCACCATTCAAAGGACATTTTTCATTCAGTTGCATTTCTATTGAGATAAAAATAGAAATTTTATACCAGATTAAAATCAGCAAAAAAAGTAAATTCAGTATATACTACTTTCCATGGTATAACCTTATTCTGCAGATATCTTTTAAAAATATGAGCATGTATCTTTTCTTGGCTTTTTGCAGAAGAGACCTTGTTTGTATTCTGATAGTACAGCCAAGGCAGGCAGGTTTGCAGCAAACCAGTTTATTTTTAGATTCTGCCTTGCCATTTATATCCTGCAAAATTGTTCACCAGCTTCAGATGACAGGCTATTTATTTGTATAAACAGGCCAGAGCAGGGCTTTCCTCCTCCCACTCTGAGCTTTTGTGTGCAGTATAAGGCAGGTGGGAATTAATTTCAGATCACAAGTGAAGAATTTTCAGCTCAAAGCCAATTACTCTCTTGCTGTTCATTCATATTCTGCAGCCAACATCTTACCTGTTTCCTGTTGCTCTATAATATTTTATTATACAAAACTGATACTGGAGGGGACAGCAAAATGACAACAGACCTTAGCCAGGATTCCTAGCTGGTTATCAGTGGAGATAGCTTGACAATGGACAGACTGGATAGCCATTTGTCCGAAATGGTGTAGGGTTTCCTGCCTGAGCAGGGGGTTGGACTTGATGACCTCCAAGGTCCCCTCCAACTTCTTCTTCTTCTTCTTCTTCTTCTTCTTCTTATTATTATTATTATTATTATTATTATTATTACTACTACTACTACTATGACAACATATGTAGTTCAAGGAAATACTATTTTCAAACCATTCCTTTGAAGTATCCATTGACCTGACTAATGGACATTCCCACACCATCTTCACCTTGGGTCTGAGAGGAGCCGCTTATTGTTTATTGGCGATAGGTCTTCACAACAGAGTCTCCATTTTGATGCCAGCCTGGCACAAAGGCAAACTGCAGCAAGATCAAGTTTAAAGCCTGCTTCAATATCATACCTTCTCCCTTCCATCCCCAAGTTTCTGTGCCTCCATGGCTATTTCTTCTTTGGCTGATGAAGGAACAGAAGATTCCCCTGCAGTCATTTTAGGTGAGGGGAGGGCAGGGGTCAGGGGATATCAACATATCGATGCCCTCCACGAGGCTGGTATTACCACCTCTACCCACAGACCTTTTTTTTTTTTTCATCACCTTGCTGCTTTCCCCTTTGTCCTGATCCTCTGTAATTGCTGGAGAACATAGCCACTACTTCCAATATCAATCCTTCGATGGGCTTACTTGACTTGGGTGCAACTTGCTGCTATTAATTGGAGCCAGCAACCATTTTTCCTGGCGGAAAACCAACACCCAATCTTGGTTGATGGGGAAGAGAAGCAGGCAGCAAAGGAGAAGACTTCTTTATTCCTTGGTCCCCAATAAGCAGCAGCAGCAACCAATGTAAGAGCAGTATATTTACCCCATGTCTCAAAAAATGGGTGAAAACTCATCTCCAGGAGCAGGAAAAAGAATCCTAAGGCTAATCTCAAGATTTATCTCCCAGAAGACACTAACCCTAACATACATTTATCATCTTTGGAAATTATTAAAAAGAATGATTATCAGAAATTATTGTTAATTCTTAGAAATAATAAGCAAAATTATTAGAAGAATCTTCAATGAGAAATCAACCTGCAAGTTCAATTTCTGATATAGTCCCCTCACAGGAGACAACTGTATATATATATTCTAATCAAAATTAGGCTCAAAAAGATTACTTATCATTGTTGAACAATTCAGGGTGCCTTTGATTGTAGCGTGCCTAGAAATACAGTTCCCTAATGTACATTCTGAAATGGTACATCCCAAGAGACATCAGTTCTATATCAGAAATAGCATACTGTAAATTTGACAGCAGACACTACGTGCACTTAAAGTAACAGAATGGAGCATTAGAGTTATATTACATAAACACTATTATATCTGGACTGAAGCCAGATGCTAATTTTATATACTTGTAAGGGCCACTGAGGCACAGATAACAACAGTTCTGTACCTCTGATCCAGTATCATCAAATGGGAGTGAAATACTCAAATGTTTTTGTTTTCTAAAATGACAGTTTAAATAGTTGGACTTGGTTCTCTGCCAATGCTTCTCTAGAAAACTTTGTGAATACTTCTGTGGACTTGGCATTGTTTTGATGCTACATATTCTAAGTAGGGAACGATGAAAAAATGTTTGTTACCACAGTTAATCACAGTATCCATCTTTAACCCATCATACATTTTCTGCATCTTGTTCAGAAGAGGAAAATAAAGGTCATGAGGACTTGGCTAGAATAGCTAAGCTGTCATGCATGCATGTCCTTCTGCACATTCAGAATCTGATGAAGAACAGCAGGGACTATACAGAACAGCTAAAAATAGTATTTGCCTCCTATGTTTATACAGCATGGGATTGTTATGCTTTGTTTTGCTCACGTCCTTTACTATGAATAAATGTTCCCTGCAGCTTAGGACCAAAAAAAGTTTTGAAAAACAAAATCTACTGAAAAAAATCTGGACCTTGTAAGATATTATATATTTAGTATTTTGTCTAAAATAGCCTGTACCCATAATTATCTTTTTTGGTTATACCCATAATAACTAACTCTCTGTTCAAATGTGCAACCCAACATGATAAAGTTCAATCAATCTGTCTGCAAAGCATGTTTTTACTATTATGGAAAAATTCAGGGGATTGCTAACTGGCAGGTAATTAACCTATAGACTCTGCTTGAGTCACAAGTTGCAAAGGACTCTTGGTCATGACCTAACTTTAGAAAGATAGTGCATGGCTGCCATTGGGGAGAAGAGTTGGAAGGTCAAGAGTCCTAGGTGACACAATGGAGAGAGGTCAGGGATGGAGAAGCAGTGAACAGACTAATGATATAGGGAAAGAGCAGCTGTACAGCCAGAAGAAAATTTAGAGAAAAAAAATAAGAGTTTAGGAAGTGGAAGAGTATGAATCAAGAGAACTTTGGAGATGTCAAGAGAGAGAAAGTACTGGAAAAGATAGTTATAATAACGATGAATTTAAAAAATGGGCTGGTAATGATGGTCAGAACAGTCTGGATTTTTTAGAAGTTGTATGGTGATGAAAGAAAAAGATGAAGAGTGTTCATGCTGGGGAGAACTTTGGGACTGAAGTACATGATTGTTTTGAAGAGATACAGAAGCAGCAGCTTAGAGATCATTGCTGGAATTGATGGACGTTATGTACGAAGAGTTAATTAAGAATACATCTGAAAATAAAGGATTCTATCTGGCTGGAAGGAGCTTGAGTAGAGGGAGTAGAGGAACAGAATTGGAAGAAGGAAAATAAATTTCTGGTTCATTCATCTCCCTGAATGAAGGGAGAAGTGTGAAATTCTGTTCTTAGATGTTCTGCTGTCACAGAAGCAGGATATACAGAAGGCCGAGTAGAGTAAGTTGCCAAATTCTTTAGAAAGCTGTAGGGAAGTGGGTTGAGAAAGATTAGTTGGCTGGGAATCTAACTAAATTCGTGATTCCCAGATAAGTAATTCTCAGAAAATCATTTAAATATGACCTTCATATCAAACCTACAATTTACAAAAACTTCAGCTTTCAGAATGTGAACTCAATTACACTTTGAAAAACAGACAGCAATTTCTTTTTTATTATTTTTAGGAAAGAAATTTTAAAAGTTTATGAAACAATCCAGATAAGGCACATTGACCCATCATCACTGTCATTTATCATCAAAGTGCTAAGTCAAACAATTGATCTTAGATTGTTTTCTTTCTCTTCCTCTTGTTGGATAAAAATCATCTTAATTTTTTTCTAAAAACAATTTAAGAAACAACCAGTATTCTTCAGGAAGTGTTCATTTGCAAATCCTTATTTAAGGTCCATTTCTTTTCATGTGATGGTACATTTTCCACTTTTCTACAATGCAGTTAAGATTTTGTCTATTCATGTGACAATCTTACCATAGAACTTTTAAACAATCAACTTATAGCAAAATTTATTATAGAACAACATTTTGCTCTAAGTGTGAATGATGTTCTTTTGTTTCAGGATTGATGAGATACCAATGGATTTTTTTTTTAATTTCAGATATGAATCCAAACTGTAAAAAGAAACAGACTTAGAACATAGTAATCTCAAGATGGAATGCTTTAAACTATCGTATATTCCGCCGTATAAGGCGACCCGGCGTATAAGACGACCCCCATCTCCGACACCGCGTCGCATGCCTAGAAAGTCATCTTATACGATGGAAACTACCGTAATTTCCGGCATATAAGACAACTCGGCGTATAAGACGACCCCTGACTTCGGCGCCGATTTCCGCACTTTCAAAAGTCGTCTTATACGCCGGAAAATACGGTATTATAGAATTTAAGGTTTTGTGTTGACTCTGAAGATTTCCGGATCAATGCAAATGTAACAATATCAGTCTGCTAAAAATCCTGAATGGATTCAGAACCTCATGTCCTATTTCTCTTTTGTGTGTGAATGCTTTAATTTACCATTAATATTTACAACTTTGGAAGGGGCACCCAAACTTGGAAGGACACAGTTTTTGCATATTTACTTTAAATTAGATGTGGCAATATGTAGCCCATAAATGTGTTTGTGTCTGTGTGTGTGCTGAGACTCATTTCTGCAACTTCTGAAGTCTAGGCACCGTTCAACAGAAAGTTAATGATTTTTGCTGATGTGATACTTTTTTTGCTTTCTGTTTTTATAACCAACCCCATAAAATAGATTTGTTAAACGTATGTGTCAATTTTTAACTAAAACAAGTATTTTTTGCCCAGCCCCTTCTGGTGATACTTCTACATCACTTTCATGCCTTCTTGGTCCCAAAGGCCATTTTTTTTTCAAGAAGACAATACATAACTAACTGGAAAACATGCTTAATTACTCTTTAAAACCTAGTTAAAAGGTAGTATTTAGTACAACTCATTGTAGTTAATTAGTGTCAGCCATAACAATTCATATCTCAGAGAAGAACTACAGGGAGGAGGTGACTTTAGGGACTCTACTGATCTCTTCAACAGAGTGAAGAGACAGGAAATATGACATCTCTTTTGGCCTTGAGAATCCTCAACTTCATTAATAAATCATCTCACAATGATACAGATGAGATCCATACATGACTTTCTTTACCTGTGTAAAAATACATTTAAATCTGCCTCTATTTTTTTTAATTACTTTGAAAAACACGTAATTTAGATCCAGGTTAGCTGTATTCTGGGTTTCAGCTAAAGACATGATAATTCTTTGAAAACAATTTGTTTGATTGAAAAAAAACCCTTCATAAAAATATAAAACTGCTTAAGAGACCACAAGAAATGTCAGCCCCTTGCTAGTTGAACCCTATTCATCATAATAATGAGAAGGCTGAAAAGAAATAAATGGTTTCCTAGTAGATAGGAAAAAAATATCAATAAGTAATTTAAAAGACAAAATTGATTGATAGCCTCTGGAAGAAGGCACCAATGCTCTCTATTTTTTCCCCACTAACTGGCTGAAAACATCATAGACTTCTGGTTTCTCTTGTGCAAACTGCTCCACTGTATTTTTCTGCAACCAATCAGATGAGCGCATTTGTTGCTGAAGGAGACCAATTAGATCACCAAGAGTGGAACTTCCAGAGGAGGTTGGTTCCTGGTGGTGAGACACAAAGATCACTTCATCTGTGCTATCTACTGTGCCTTCTGATTCAGACAGGCACAATTGATCTTTGTCTTCATTCAGGATTTCATGCTCTTGTTCTTCTAATACTTCACAGATTCTCTGCATCCCTGGAAAAATGGGTGGGGGATGGAAAGTAAGGGAAATAGGTTGAAATAAAAGTTGGATGCAGATTTTTGAGAATATCTTAATAAGGGTAAAAACACAGCTATCATCAGATTTTTCCTTTGAGCTAAATCAATAACCCAGACAATGAACTTACAATGGATTTCATGAAAATCTATACCTGTTACCAGCTATCTCTTTTGTAGTACATGTATATTACAAACGGAATATTTCAGGACTTTTCAGTTCACTTAAGTGTTTCAAAATGTGTTCAGATCAGCTAAATAAAGTTGGACTTATTACTTCCTAAAGAAGTGGCCATGACCCAATGGTTACATACTCCTATTTCTCTGGTTCTAGAATGTCCATCTGTCTTCAATTGGTTTAAAAAAATAAATAAAACCAGAATGCAAAGAAAAGCTAGGATGGTAAAACTAAGGAGAAAAGAACGGTATACATAACATTTGGCCAACCAAGTTGAATACTGTTCATCAGTTTATTTATTTATTTATTTATTTTCAAATATTTATATGCCGCCCAATCCCAAAGGACTCAGGGCAGCGTACAAAGTTAAAACAATGATAAAACAATAAAATAAAACAGTCATACCACGAGTCCGATCATATCCCAGCCCCCCGGGGACATCAGCCCCAGGCCTGCTGGAACAGGAGAGTTTTAACGGCCTTCTTAAAGGCCGGCAGGGTGGGAGTAGTTCGAACCTCGAGGGGAAGTTGATTCCACCAGGTCGGAGCCACCACAGAAAAGGCCCTTCCCCGAGGGCCCGCCAGCCGATATTGTCTGGCCGACGGGACCTGAAGGAGGCCCAATCTATGGGACCTCACCGGTCTCTGGGAGCTGTGCGGCAAAATGCGGTCCTGTAAGTAACCTGGCCCTATGCCATGAAGGGCTTTAAAGGTGATAACCAACACCTTGAATTGCATCCGGAGACCCACAGGAAGCCAGTGCAGCTCGCGGAGGATAGGTGACACGTGGGCGTACCTTGGCGCGCCCACAATCGCTCTCGAGGCTGCGTTCTGAACCAACTGCATTCTCCGAACGCCCTTCAAGGGTAGCCCCATGTAGAGCGCGTTACAGTAATCCAGTCTTGAGGTGACAAGGGCATGAGTGACTGTGAGTAAAGCCTCCCGGTCCAAATAAGGCCGCAACTGGTGCACTAGGCGAACCTGTGCAAAGGTCCCCCTGGCCACAGCCGATAGATGTTGTTCCAGATTTAGCTGTGAGTCCAGGAGGACACCCAAATTGCGTGCCTGCACTGAGGGACTAAAGATGGACCATCCAGTTGGCCTTTGGGAGGCAAGACCCAGAGCCACTCGGTCTTGTCAGGGTTGAATCTAAGCCTCTTCACCTCCATCCAGACCCTCACATCTTCCAGGCACCGGCCCATCACGTCGACTGCTTCACTGAAAGGACACGGGGTGGAGATATATAATTGGGTATCATCCGCGTACTGATGATACCTCACCCCGTGTCGCCGAATGATCTCACCCAGCGGTTTCATGTAGATGTTAAAAAGGAGGGGGGACAGGACCGAGCCCTGAGGCACCCCATGATCGAGGCACCTAGGGGTCGATCTCTGTCCGCCCGCCAACACCGACTGCGACCTGTCAGAGAGGTAGGAGGAGAACCACCGCAATACGGTGCCGCCCACCCCCACCTCTCCGAGATGACGCAGAAGGATACCATGGTCGATGGTATCGAAAGCCGCTGAGAGGTCAAGAAGCACCAGGATAGAGGAATGACCCCTATCCCAGGCTTGCCAGAGGTCATCGGTCAGTGCGACCAAAGCAGTCTCAGTGCTGTAGCCGGGTCTGAAACCAGATTGAAAAGGGTCCAGATAATTGGTTTCATCCAAGGATCGCAAGAGTTGAAACGCCACCACCTTCTCTACAACCTTCCCCACAAAGGGGAGGGTGGAGACGGGACGAAAGTTCTTCAAAACAGCTGGGTCCAGGGAAGGCTTCTTGAGGAGGGGCCTCACCACCGCTTCCTTTAAAGGTTGCGGGAAAGACCCCTCCATCAAGGAAGCATTGATTATCGCCTGGAGCCAGCCTCGTGTCACCTCCCTACTGGCAGAAACCAGCCAGGAGGGGCACGGATCCAATAAACAGGTGGTGGCATTCATTGCCCTCACGGCCTTGTCCATTTCATCAGGGGTCACAGGCTCAAACTCGCTCCAGATAACATGACTAAGACCAGCCCCTGGCAACTCGGCTGGCACTGCCCAGTCGGAGTCCAGGTCTCTCTGAATCTGAGCGATTTTGTCTGAAAGAAACTGAACAAACTCCTCAGCTCTCCCCTGCAAGGGTTCCTCCGCCTCCTCCACTTTAAGAAGGGAGCAGGTCACCCTAAACAAGGCGGCCGGGCGAGATTCTGTGGACGCAATAAGTGCGGAAAAGTGAACACGCTTTGCCGCCCTTATCGCCACTAAATAAGTCCTAAGATAGGCTCTTAATAGTGATCGGTCAGATTCAGAGTTACTGGCCCTCCAACGTCGCTCTAGACGTCTCTTGTGGCACTTCATCTCCCGGAGCTCCTCAGTAAACCAAGGCGCCCTCCGGGGACCACCACCACAGAGAGGTCGCAAAGGCGCAATTCGATCCAGGGCCCCGGACGCCACCTCATTCCAGGCCGCAACCAGGGACCCGGACGAGTTGTGGACAAGGGAGTCAGGTATTTCCCCAAGTTCCTCCTGGAACCGATCTGGGTCCATTAGGCACCTGGGGCGGAACCACCTAGTCAGCTCCCTCTCCCTGCGATGGGGGAGTGATGCTCTGAAGTCCAGCCTCAATAGGAAATGATCTGTCCATGACAAGGGCAAGATCTCTATTCCCCTTAATTCCAGATCATGTCTCCAATAAACAGGTGGCGGCATTGCCCTGAGAGAAACACAAGGTCGAGTGTGTGACCACCCCTATGGGTCGGATCCTGAATTACCTGGGTCAGGTCCATGGTTGCCATGGAAGCCATGAACTCCTGTGCCGCCTCTGAGCGATCGCCGAGTGATGGTAGGTTAAAGTCCCCCAGTACTATAAGTCTGGGGAACTCCACCGCCAACCCGGCTACTGACTCCAGCAACGCAGGCAGGGCTGTTGCAACGCAGCTGGGAGGTAGGTACGTCAGCAGCAAGCCCAACTGAACCCGTGAACCCAACTTCAATAGGAGGGACTCACACCCAACAACCTCCGGGGCAGGAATCCCACGAGGGCTCAAGGACTTCCGAGCAGTTGTGTGAAAATCCATCCTAACTAGCATTTTGATTGTTAATTCCATTTGCCCAGGACTGCAACATCCTATCTTATGTGGTAGAAGTTGGATCACCTGTTGAGTTAATCTTGGATACAATATAGATGAGGACAGCACTAACCAAGCCGCAGCCGATTCATCTTGTCAGCAAAGATGATACGGAACCATCCAGGCTCATTGCACTCAAATGAGTTACCAGGTGAGAGTAAGATCTTTTTGTCCAGGAAGCGTCTCCAGAGTAGCATCTCCTCTTCAAATGTTTTTTTTCTTAAATACTGGAATCAGTTAAGAAGAGAGTAAATGAGTAAAAAAAAAACCCCAATCTTTTAGTCCTATAAAAAGTAATTGCATCATTCTCTCTCAAGCTGCAGAAAATTTAACCCACACAGGATGGGTAAACAACCTGTGTCATCAGATGTGGCATAATTATATCTCCTAGGAGCACCAGCCAACCCAGCCAATGATAAGAGATGATGAGGTCTATAGTTCATCAGTCTTTGGAGAACATAGATTCCCTATCTCTGCCCTAGTGAATAAGAGTAGACTGAGAACTGAGCAAAAAAGGAAACCTCATATCCAAACAGCAAAAAAAAAAAAAAAAAAAAAAGAGAGAGAGAGAGAGAGAGAGAGAGAGAGGCAATTATGCTGTGTATATATGTGAGGATGCAAATATGTATGCAATCCTTGTACATATAAAACACACTCACAATGATGAGTATATTTCAGTCTTCCCAAACCTGGGGCTCTCCAAATGTGTCAAATACTCAAGTCCCACATTTTTAAATATCTGTATTTGAGCCACCACTATTTTTCCTATTTTTTTTTAAATAGATATTAATTTGATTTCTGTCAGTCCTTTCCTGAGACCAAGAGGAGAATTTCTGGTCTATCCAATCTACCCATTCTGTTTCCCACAAAGACCAATCAAACTAGATTACAAGGACATTTTTGGGTTGTTGTTTTTTTTGTCTAGCTAAACTAAGTGGAATCTGAAATTCTAGATACAAACAATAGAGAAGACCAGTTGCCTTCACACCCTGCTTGTAAAAAGAACCATCTGTTTTACCACTGGCATATAGATACAGGGCATCTAAAGACCACTAACCTTTCGAAAGTCAACCCATATAAAAAACCCCGCATTTCGGTTGAGGAAAGGAATGCCAAGGGTCTTGAGTTCATCTGTCACAAAAGTGTGTGCAGCTTTCAGTCTCTCGTGGTTGGTGCGTAAGTATACTTGGTTGATCCAATCTAGCCAAGAGTAGAAAGACACATAGCAAAGACACAAATATATATTACTGCTTAATTTCTAAAAGCTGATAGATCAATGGATGGATGGATTCCTTTATGTAAAACGAGGCAACATTCATATTCCACCTGCTGAATTTGATCTGTGATAATTCATTTGTAGACATCATTTGTCACTGACACTTGACAAGAACATGCATATGTAAACTAGGCCATAGTGAAATCAATGGTCAAGAATTTCCAAGAGGCTTCCGATGGCGACTGCTGCGCCGATGGCGGCTTTTCCTTAGCCGTCAGCCCTGGGATTGCGTGAAAGCGCGCGGAGACAGCAAATATCAGCTGTTCCGCGGCTTGAAACCTCTCTCCTCGGGAGAAGAGGAGGAGAGTTTTTTCACGGGTACAGGTAGAGCTCCCCTGCACCTCCTTAATTATTTGGAGGTTGTAGGGTGAGAGCTCCCTCAGAGCCCGAGGCTTTTTTTTCTCCGCATTCCAGGACGCCTTTGTCCTATTTTCAGGAAAAAAGCAAGATGCCGCTTCCACATCTGCATCTTAAAGAGACTTGTGAGTTAATTAAAAGCAGATGGAACTGACCAGGAGAGATAAGAATTGTTAATGCTTGGGACTTTAACTCAGGAAAAGAGTTAAAAGAATCTTCTCCACCTTTCAATTTCACTAAAAGTAAAAGGAGAAAAATGGTGCTGGAGTGTTGTTTTTTTTTATTGAAAGGACAGTGTTAAGAAAGACTTATATTCAGCAACAAAGTTTAAATATGTAACAGATTTTGGCTATCTATTTAAAAGGCAAGAATCTTTCTTTTCTTTTCTTTTTTTGGGAATTAGCCTTCTCTTTCCCTTTTTTTCTTTTTCTTTTGTAACTGATGATTTTATAAGAAGTGGTTTTAAATAGACAGAAAATGGCTTCAAAGCGTCTCGGAATCCCTCTGGTTCCTAAAGGTTCAATCTCCTCTCCGGTAACTCAGACAACTAAGCCTAAGTCACCCCCACCCTCTCCTCCACGACCGGCATTTACACTTAAAGATATACAAGATGCTTTGAAAAAAAAACAGCGCAAGAGATTAAAACTGAGGTGGCAGAGCTTTTTGAGAATAAGAATAGGGAGATGAGGGAAGACATTGTGCTTGCATTCCAAGGGCTAGCCGCCCATATTGAACGTATAGATGACAGGGTGGATGAAGTTGTGGAAAATACTGCGAAATTAGAAAACAGACTTGGTAAAGTTGAAGATAAGATTGATACAACACAGGATGAAGTTAATCATGTCACAATATAGAGACATGGAATTTGCTTTGCGAATAAGAGGATTGAAGGAGAATTCACGAGAGGATCTGAGAGAGGAGGTGGCAAGAGATATTGCTCCTATTTTGGGATGTGAACCTGAGGAAATATTGAGAGAGATTGATAGAATATTTAGAGTCAACTCATGGATTGCGAGGCAGAGAAATTTACCTAGAGATGTGGTTATTTATTTCTCTAGGAGATCACTTCGTAATGAAATTATACAGGCTTTTATAAGCAGAGATTTCAAATTGCAGCCCAGGATGTTATAATTTTAAAAGAAATACCTTCAAAAATCCTTAGAAAAAGAAAGGATTTTGCTTTTCTGGCTGAGGAGCTTAAAAAGAAAAAGAAAAAAAAAGAATTTCCAAGGATATGTATTTTATGAACTTAAGTGTGAACACACATGGGTTTAAGTGAAGGAGAACAATATGAACATGGTCTTGGTGCAATGTGAGGGTTTTTTTAAAAAAATCTCAAATTTGTCAAACTGGCAATCACCTTCAATATACTTCCTGAAATTTTAGGAAACAACTCAAAATTATATGACTGATATATATTTATAAATAAAAAATAGGAACACCTTTAGCAAAAGTCTTTCCTTATTAGGAGCAATGAATATAGATGCTCCCAGGTTACGCACCTCTGTCTTTGAGTAGCTGGATAATTTGGTATTGCATAGGCCCACAGATACTATGAACGTAATTAAAACAAGTCACAGCTTTGATAACATCTTGGTTTAGTGTGTATAAAACACCAAACCGGACTCCAGACATAGCAAAATCCTGTAAATGAAGAGAAGAATTACCAATCCAGCTTTCATAATAAAAGTAAATATTTTGATTCAACCAACATCCATAGTCCAGGAATTTAAGGGAGCATCATCGGAATATTAGGAGAATAATACTTACCTTACTAATCCCCCACAACACATGGGTCCTTTGTGGATCAGGCAATCTGTATGTATTAAGAATATCTATATGAATATTTTCAATAAATAATGGAGATTTCTTGATCAACCTTTTTCACTCTGGTGCTTTCTAAATATATTTGACTACAACTCCCAAACTTTCCAGACAGAAAGCCACATTGTTTGGAGTCATGGGTGTTATAATAAAGCACACGTCGAGGCATTAAATTAGGAAAGGTTGTTCTTGATCATCAACCCAGAATTCCAAAACAACTAAGAACATACTTAATAATCATCAGTATTGTTAATAGAAACTTTGTTCCATAGGGACACCTGTTAACTTTGTGAATATGGAAAAAGTGGAGAAGCTGAACTTTCTCCTGATTTAAATGTCAACAATATCCCTCCCCCCCTCCTTTTACTGGAAGTGAAAGCAGAAACTTCAAACAGGAAATTTCTGTCAGGACTAAGATACAAATGATTAATGAGCCATGGTAGGGCAGTGATTAGAATGCAGTATTGCAGGCTAACTCTGCCCACTGCCAGGAGTTCAATCCTGACCTGTTCAAGATTGACTCAGCCTTCCATCCTTCTGAGGTTGGTAAAACGAAGACCTAAATTATTGGGACCAATATGCTGACTCTGTAAAGCGCTTAGAGAGCCCTGTAAAGCACTGTGAAGCAATCTGTAAGTCTAAGTGCTATTGCTATTACATTTTCCCATTACTTGATCCATTCATCAGCAGCAGTTCCATAAGTCCCATCTACTGTACCTTAGCAGTCCAATATCCCGCCCAAAGGGCCCAAGATCTTCCTTCCTTCCTTCCTGAAATGTATGTTTTCCCAAATGTGTTTCAGGAAGTAAAGGGCAGCTCAACTTCTTTGCCTGCATGAATTTATCCATACAATTTTCTTAACCACATTATGGAATTTGTTTGCCATTGCCTTCTTTCCAGACAATTGGGTGTCCCTCATCAAAGTATTAATCAGAGCTGACCATGCTTAGCTAATGAGATGAGCCGATATGCTTGCTAGAAAAATATGAGAACAATATAAACTGGGAAGCAACAGAGCTATTCTCTCAGCAGTGCTTTCTAATATGATGAAAAATTGGACTACAAAGATACCTTCTGAAGCCACAAGTTATGTTGATGCAGAAACACAAAAAAACCCCACTGTTCTTATTTAGGGAATATAGAATATTTTACTTCAAAAAAACAATTTCCACTTCTGAGCTAGAAGGGCACGCCTGTTATTCACAGATTTCATTATTTATTTTATTAAATGCATAAGGCTTCCAACTCTATAATGATTTCCTAATGTTGGTGACCTTTGCTACTAGATGAATTGAAGCTGTAAAGCAGACCTTACCTGTCCATTTCAAGTACACTGTGAAATGTTGCAGAATCATCAAAAACTGATAACATATAGATCTCATCAACAATCACATGCAACTCATGTCTAGAACAGAGGAAAAGAGAGGACTTCAGCAGTTGGAAAAAAATGACTTGCTCTCATGAAATAGGCAAGAATTTTGCATTCATTCATGGACAGTCTCTGTAATAATTGACTAAAAAAGAATATCCATGATTCTAAAATGTTTGAGAACAATGGAGTTCAAGCATCAGCAATTCAAGAACACACTCATTGCTAGAGATTACAGCAAAACCTCAACATACAGTGGGGCAAAAAAGTTATTTAGTCAGCCACCAATTGTGCAAGTTCTCCCACTTAAAAAGATGAGAGAGGCTTGTAATTGTCATCGTAGGTAGACCTCAACTATGAGAGACAAAATGAGAAAACAAATCTAGACAATCACATTGTCTAATTTGGAAAGAATTTATTTGCAAATTATGGTGGAAAATAAGTATGTGGTCAATATCAAAAGTTCATCTCAATACTTTGTTATATATCCTTTGTTGGCAATGACAGAGGTCAAACGTTTTCTGTAAGTCTTCACAAGGTTGGCACACACTGTTGCTGGTATATTGGCCCTTTCCTCCATGCAGATCTCCTCTAAAACAGTGATGTTTTGGGGCTGTCGCTGGGCAACACGGACTTTCAACTCCCTCCTAAGGTTTTCTATGGGGTTGAGATCTGGAGACTGGCTAGGCCATTCCAGGACCCTGAAATGCTTCTTACAAAGCCCCTCCTTCGTTGCCCGGGCAGTGTGTTTGGGATCATTGTCACGCTGAAAGACACAGCCACGTTTCATCTTCAATGCCCTTGCTGATGGAAGGAGGTTTCACTCAATATCTCATGATACATGGCCCGATTCATTCTTTCCTGTACATGGATCAGCCGTCCTGGTCCCTTTGCAAAGAAACAGCCCCAAAGCATGATGTTGCCACCCCCATGCTTCACAATAGGTATGGTGTTCTTTGGATGCATTCAAACTCAGCATTCTCTCTCCTCCAAACACGACGAGTTGTGTTTCTACCAAACAGTTCTACTTTGGTTTCATCTGACCATATGACATTCTCCCAATCCTCTTCTGGATCATCTAAATGCTCTCTAGCAAACTTCAGACGGGCCCGGACATGTACTGGAGTGTGACTGTTTGAGGTTGTGGACAGGTGTCTTTTATACTGATAACAAGTTCAAACAGGTGCCATTAATACAGGTAATGAGTGGAGGACAGAGGAGCCTCTTAAAGAAGTTACAGGTCTGTGAGAGCTAGAAATCTTGCTTGTTTGTAGGTGACCAAATACTTATTTTCCACCATAATTTGCAAATAAATTCTTTCCAAATTAGACAATGTGATTGTCTGGATTTGTTTTCTCATTTTGTCTCTCATAGTTGAGGTCTACCTATGATGACAATTACAGGCCTCTCTCATCTTTTTAAGTGGGAGAACTTGCACAATTGGTGGCTGACTAAATAACTTTTTTGCCCCACTATTTTCCCATAAATGCTTTGATATATAAAGCAGCCAACTGATTAGTTTGGCTTAACTTTCCCAATAAAAGCTTACAGAGGAAGTAATATAATGAAATTAATGAAATGGAAGGAAATTAGAAATCCCAGCCTCCATGAGTATAGGTCCTTCAGCCTTATCATGGTCTGACAACTGGATATCTCCTACTTCCTTAAATTTTTGTTTGTTGCCCTCTTCCAGCACATTTTTGACTTCGTTTTTTAGTCTCTTTCTCTCTCATGGAAACTGGAGATATTGCTCTTCAGTGGCTCTAGTCCTACTGAGGTGAATGTTTCAAAATTTTTCACTTAATGGCAGGTGTACCATAATAATTAAAAAGCCCCGTTTCCTTTTCCATGCTGTTCAAATTCCAGATAAAATCCTTGAGGTTATCTGTGAACACAATGTTACAATAATTAATTCTATTCTTCCTGTTCATTAAATTCAGGTAAACTGGTCATAGTCTAAATTCGCATCAAAAATCTACAGTAAAGGCCAATGAACTTCAGGACCTAGAAAGTCCTGGAGAACTTAGGATGCTATTATTTTTGTATCACCTTCTCTCATATAAGCTGCTTCCACTTCACAATTACGGTTTATGATATTTATATTCCAGGTTCTGGCCCGCAAGTTACAGAAAGGGGTCTAAATGCTTTGAAAATCCATAATATAACAGCTGTTTATAATATGCATAAATGTTCAATGCTAACTAGGCAGCATACCATATTCAAATTTTGGCCCATCAGACTCTCTAAAATATGTAAGATTGTCATACCTTTTTGCAAATTCCAAGTAGTCCTGTAACTCTGAGAGAGAATAGATATCCCCCAAGGGATTTTGGGGATTCAGGAGAATTAAACCCCTTACTTTGATACCCTACAAAAGAAACAAGAGCATTAAAAGTGCACATATATGTGCATATGTGAACTAAACACATCAACATATCAAATACAGCCTGTCAGGAAACCTACTTATTCTGTGATTGTAAAAACTGACTTTTTTATTATTAAGTGGCTGAAACATGCAGCTTGATTTCACACTTTAAATCAGTGCATTCTACAGTGTGGCAATTTACTTTTTATGTGTTATCCTGATGGATTTAAATCCTCCCCCCTCCCTATGAATTGTTCTCAAATAAAAGTAGCTGCATCCTTCCTTAGGAGTGCTTTAGGAAAATAGTGCAAGAAAGTGTGCTAAAAGACAAGGTCAGAGATTCTACTCTTCTAGAAGTTACATCTTTCCAATGTCCCTGGTGCCTGCCCCATCCCAGTTAATAAAATCAACTGGGTATGAAGTATTTTAGAGCTGCAGACTATTTCTGTTTCATTCTAGCCCACTAAAAATTCTTTAATAATTATTAAAACATAGAATATTAAAAATACGTTTCATTGATAAACACACCAAACACAAAATGCAAAAGGGATAATAAAATAATATAGGTAATTTAAAATTCTCTATGTAACTTTTTTGGAATGTTGGAATATTGACAAGAAATTAAAAATTGACCCAAAAATCAATAATAGGACATGGATTGTTTATGAAGATTGAATGTAATTAACATATGTATAAGCTAAAAATTTATTGATAAATGTAATAATGATGTCCTTATTGAATGGATATAATTAGAAATGTACCAACCTGAACATGAGATAGTAATTGTTAAGGGGAAAAGAGAAGAAATATTTGATGTTGTAACTTGAGATTTGTATTAAAATTTTGTTATTGAGCTATTGATTAACCCAGTCACCATGTTGCTTTTTAAATATTCAAATGTACAATTGAAAAATTAATAAAATATTATATTCAAAAATTATCTATGTAACTGATATGTACTGAAGAAAAAAATTCTTTCTAGTGAACAAACAGTTCTTTCATTTTCTAGTGAAAAACAATTATGATAGAAACACAATCTTTGTGGAAATCTTTGCTAAAGCAAATGTCTTTGTCATATATTCACCTGTAAATTAGGTTAGCAACAGGGCACTTGTAGGTAGCACTCTGATCTTCATTTCATTCAAAGTCAAACAGGGGTGGGGAAATTACTGGTTGAAGGTAATACTTTGTTTTAACAAACTGCATCACTGTCTGGTTTGGTGGTAGCAGTGTCTCAGATAAAAGGTCCATACAGAGAGTGGTAAGGACAGCTGAGAATATTATAGGAAGCTCTCTTCCCTTTATTCAGGATACTGCTTATAAGCGCTAGAAACATTGATAGATACCTCACACATCCACTTTACGGTCTGCTTCTGTTGCTCCCCTCTGGGAGGAGGTTTCGAAGTATTTCCAGCAGGACTACCAGATTCTGTAACAGCTTTGTTCCCTATGCCAACCATCTGGTAAACTTGCAAGATTCGGTTTTTTTTTGTTTTTTTTTTGCCATGTATACATCCCAACTAGATTGTGTTGTTTCTCTGTGTCATAGAATATATGTGGGTATATGTAATTTTTTGGTCATATTTATGTAGTGATTATTGGAGGTGGTGACCCTTTGAGAGCTATATGCAAAGAAATTTCATTTTAATGTATGCTGATTGGTGTACGTTTAAAGTGACAATAAAGTTTATTCTATTCTATTCTATTCGTAAAAAAAAGGTTTATTCATTCTAAGGGTTTAACACAGAACAAGGAAAGTTGTCCCCAAATGAGTTCATATCACACTTGACAACCATTGTTTAGAAAAAAAGGCAAACAGAGTAGCTAGGCCACTGGAATAATATATCAAGTATTGAATCAGCAAAATTCACCTCTGACTGTGCATCCTGCAAAGCTTTCTTTAGCTTATCCACTGTAAGCTGGAATGGACGAGTGCAACTGCCAGTAACCTGAAATATACCAAACAAGAGACTGAATAGTGGCTTTCAGATCCACTGCATGCAATAGTAATGAAGAATATTATTAACCAAGATGGCATCATTCAGACACTTCAAGATAAGATATCTCAGCAAATCATGAAAAATTTTGGAATGCTAATTTAAGCACAAGCATTCTTTTTATCCAGATCACCAAATGTTTTATCTCCAAGTCTCTGTGATCTATTTTATATTCCAAAGTTACTCTCCTATCTACATCATGAAACACTACCATTAACATTCTGCTAATCCAACCCAACAGAGAACATTTAATCTACAAGGGGGCCAACCCAACTTGTTCCAAGCTTATTGTTCCTATGATCAAATGATATAGCCAGAAAGCTGAATGGAATGCCAAGGGATTCCAGAATATGGTGGTCATCCAAATACTTCCTTACCTGGCTATCTAAATAGGCATAAACCAGCTTGACCCTGCCAGACAGGTACACATCTTTGATGATTCCTCCATAGAAAGGAGTAGCAATCAGGAATGCTTCTGAAATAAAAAGAATAAAGCAATAACCTACTGCTGCTATTGGTATTCTTTATATTACTGAGATCAGTTTAATTATTTATAAGTTTCGATCTGTATGTTAATTTCAGGATTAATTTTGATTCTGTAGTCTGGTGGTGTTAAACTCATTTCCACATCTCAAAGGCAAAATATACATTCCTCAATGGAATGGAAAAGGATTTTTTTAAATAAAAAAAAAAACTACTCAAGAATTCAGTCAAATTAACAACAGTTTTTTAAGAACCAAGGCAGGGCTAGCAATTTTGTTTTCAGCTGGAAAAGTACAAGTTAGGTGGTTTTACTGGAAAAGCATTAAAGAGGATGGGCAGATGGAGGCTACATAGTTTGCCCACCCCTCTGGATGAAGTCTTATCCAACTTTCCGAGTCAACCGTAACTCCCATCACACTCTATCATCATGGACATTAGCTTATGGAATGCTGTGCCAGAGCAATTCAAGCAGAAGCATATGAGAAGAAGGACTAATAGAACAGCCTCAAACTTTTTGATTCCAGTGAAAAATGTAACACAGATCATTCATCTCTTGCAATGTCAGCAGAGAGAAAGATAGATCTATCCCAAGAATCTCTTCCTGAGAAGGAAATGAGCACTCAATGCAGAGTCCATGAAAATATACTGTACACCTTTCTTTTTTTGGATTTAACTCCCACCCCCCCAAAAAAACCCTCTTGTGATTTCCTAGCTTATCACTTCTAGAGAACATTTAAAGCAGTATAGAATTCAAACAGAAAGAAAAACTGAATTGATAAAAAAAGAATTAAATTTTCTGAAGCTCTATACTCAAATTTAAGATGGGAATATCTATATAAACATGGGAATCCTGTGTTTTTTTTTTCTGTTTTCCACTGTATTCTTGGATGAGTGCATATACTAAGTCAAATGTATGAATGTTGTACATATGAAGTAAAGCAGGGTTTACTAAAAAAAGAAAAGAAATGACTTCCATTATATAAAATATAGAGATACACCTACATAGATATTCTTTTTCCACAGAGTTCATGTCGTTTTGGTTCATAAATCATTGGCAGTATACAAATACAGTAAATAAATATCTATGTATTTTGTGTTATCATTACATGACTATATTTATGGATTAAACTGTCATAAATAAGCAGGTTTAAAAAACCCTTTAATGTACCAATCACAACAACTAATTAATCAAAGGTCTTCCTCAGATCTGCCCTGATGAATGAGAGCTATGTACTATGTTAGACACAATATCTAGAAAAACCTAAGCAATTTCAGTCCTTTTCTGCAAAAATCCTGCTTTGCTGCCCTCTAACAAACTTGTGTTTTAAATTGCTCCAGCTCACTTGCCTCCTGGATCACACAGAACCATAGCCAAACTAGAAAACAAAGATCCACAGCCATTCTGCAGAATCACCTAGAGAAAAAGATATTCAGACAGATATTACTTTCTGGAGAGACTATTCTTCCAATAAAATTTCATTTATTCAGTTTGCGTCTAGGTATTTTATCATTGGGGTGGATAGGCTTCTGCCTTAATGTTCTCTTGGGTTTAAAGTGTGCACATGTGTTATATTGGTTGGCAGAAGCTAACTCAAGAATACATTAAACTTGTCCACCCCAAGGGAAAAACATTTATTTTCTTTTTGCATTGCTATAATAGATACATGTGTTGAGAAATTGGAGGGCAGGGATGAGAGATTAGAAAACCTGTGACACAAAAATACAATCTCTGCTGTCTTCATCACTCTGCAATTTCTTAGTTGTTTCTTTTCCCAGCACCATCTACTTGCTTTCTACATACCCCTAACTTAGTTCTCAACTTATAACCGTAAGGCCAGAATTATGGTCATATATTTTGCTGGTTGTTAAGTGGGTCATCATGTCACCAATCCAATTTTACGATATCTTTTTGCAGCAGTTGTTATGCAAATGCAGCAATCATAAAGTAAAGCCATTATATTATTAAGCAAACATGGTGGTCCTTAAGCAACCCCATTGTTCACAATGCACATTTTTTGCTGGAAACTGGGATATTGTAAATCATAATCATGTGACCATACGACACTGCAAATGGCCATAAATGTGGGCCAGCTGCCAAGTGTCCAAAATGCAATCCCATGACTATGCGGGTAGATGTCAGAACTTCAAATCCAGGTTGTAAGTACCTTTGGGTGGGTCCGTCAAAACTTTGAACAGTTATTAAATGACCGATTGTTAAGCAAGGAGTACCTATATAGTTTCGACACCTAATGGTAGTCACTTACTGAAAATAAAACAAACCAGAAAATAGGTTGACTTACATTTTCTGCTTTGAGAGGTGCAGGGGCTTTGCTGTAATAGGTCAGAAATCGAGCCACTTCCTCTAGCACACTGAAGAAGATACAAAAGCAATCAGAGTTTTCCAAGAGATATCTTCATTCCTCTCCAGGCTGGAAAACACAGATTCAGACTTTCTGACAAAAGAGGGTGAAGACTCTTGACCAAGGCTACTTACAACATAAGGCCCTTCCAGTTAGGGTACTCCAGCACGGAAGGATCTGTGAGTTTCACAGCACTTTGGGCCAGCTATCAGCAATGAGAAGGAGAGGACAAAATTAGACAGATAGATAGATAGATAGATAGATAGATAGATAGATAGATTGATAGATAGAAAGAAAGATAGACAGACCGACCTTTATTGTCATTTTTTACTGTGGGCACAATGGCACACATTAAAAATGAAATTTAGTTGCTTGCTCTCAAAGTGTACTCATACATAACACACATTTAAACGTACCATATACAACATATGTATAGATCTACACCCTTACATATAAGTGACATATAAATATTATTCACTGTCCTTCTTGAATACATAACGGAAGGAGGAAGCTTTAGAGTTCACAAGATTAATACTGTATGGAACAAAACTGTGACTGAATCTGGATGTTCTGCTTCGGATACCACGGAGCCTCCTCCCAGAAGGTAACAAGGAAAGCAGGTTGTGAAGAAGATGTGTAGTGTCCCAGACAATCTTCCCAACCCTGCTCAAGCAACACTGATGTGCTATGTCCTGGATGGAAGGGAGGAAACTGCCAATAATCTTTTCAGCCATCGTCACCACTCTCTGCACCGCCTTCCTGTCTGAAGTAGTAATTATTATTAATCATATCACCAGGAAATGGTCTGGAAATTAGCAAGGTTGACAGTTTCCTTCTTCACTTGCAAGGCATCTTGCAAATGAACCACACACAGAGAGAGGCTGGGTGTGCACACTGTGATTCCTTTCTTTTTGGTTTGGTTGGACAAACTCAATCAAGAGTTGTTTGTTTAAGAAACTACAAGCTCTGAATAATGTGAAATAGGCCTGTGTTTTTATTGAGTGATTTAGATCACTATTCTTTTGTAATTTTTGCAAAATATGTATAGAATGCATACATATATTATGCTCAAAGAACATTGCCACCAATTTAAAAGAAAGCAGTGGTTTTGCTTCCTGTCACAATATACCAGGTTTTGTCTACTGTTTTCCTCTCCCCTACTCCATAAAAACGTGGGGTGGGAGTAAGGGACTAAAAGAACTTATCCATTTAGCATGGAACCATTTGTCTGAGATTCATGGATGAAAACTATATTGGTGAGTGTAATTCACATAATAGTGACCCAACAAAGCACCCTAAATAGATTTCTCAAAGGCCGACAGCTCATGCTGAAGGAAGAAGCATAAGATTATTCAGGATGAGAACAAAATCAAATAGTACTAATGTAAACAAGTACAGAAACAATATAAACCTCAAGTGACTCATCTAGGAAATTATTTTCTTTGTAAAATCATCATAAAATGTCATCACTTGGTGATCGCTATTACTTAAGAATGATGCATGTTTACAATATTCTTACCTTTTTGGACACTAGATCAAAGCAGAGTTTGTTCTCACTGGTACTCAAATTAATGATGCCCTAGGAATACAGATAAATGTTTCATTAAAAATAAGTTATTAGTTGCTATCCTATTAGCTACTTCAAAAATTGTGTTCCCTAAAACTTTAGCATTTCTAGAGCCAATAAAGATTCTGGAAAGAGGGTTGTGACAGAAGATACACATGAGTCAAAAGAATTATGTTTCATTTCATTTTTTTGTGAAAGATTTGTAAAAATTTCATTTGCAATCTGCCTATATTTATATTGTCCATTGTTTATTTTATACCATTGTTTATGTTTGGAAACTTCATTTTTCATATCAGACTCAAAGAAACTGCAGGTTAGCATTCTACACAAACACACAGACACAAATTCATTTATTCGTTACTCATTGGGGGGGGGAAGCTTAGCTGTGACTATTTTACCCAAGTAACTTTTATATGAATAAAATGTAGTTTATATATTTAACTGCTGCTATTTGCTAAGGAGAGATATATTGGTTTATGCTATTTTTTCTTTGCACAAAAGGCCAGTAGGCTAACTTAAATGAGCAACAGTATTTAAAAATAACTAAAATTAATGGCCAAGAGAGGATCTGAATCCAAACCAAATCAGTTCAACAGTTCACCTATATTACACAGTCTATATTATGGAAGAATGAACTAAAAGATTAGCATTCTAATAATGGGCTTCTCAGCTAAGAAAAATGTAATTGATTTTTTTAAAAAAACCTCACATTTTGAATGAAGCTTGAAATGAAGGTTTATGTAATATAAAAAGATTACACTGATTAGAGCTAGCATAGCTGGTTTTATTGATGGATAGTAATATTAATGCTGCTACAGTTTGGATGCTCTGCTGTTTTAATGTTTATCATGGGAGCAAAGTATGTTTGTTTTTACAGTAAGCAGCTCTGAAAGTTCACAGTGACTTTGTGTGGTTGGCATTCTTTCCTGGCATTAAAAAATTAGTTTGTATGGTTTAAAATGTTCTTATATGCCATATTTAGGTGAATTAACTGTAAAAACAAGCCAACTTAAAGAAAAACAAAGCAAGATTTTTTTCATCTAATGTTCATTTGTGCCTGGTGGGGTAAGGAAATTCACATGGAAATTGTGGAGAAAATTATTAAACCACTTTTCCCTGACTGTGTCTACTGCCTAAAGAAAGTTAATCTTACTGTTAAGTTTTTCAAAAAAGTTTTATCCAAGACTTCTGATTTGCCGATGCGGCTACCACGGACATTTGGAAGGTGAGCTCCATCTTCTACGCTGGGGGACCATGGAAAGGGTTGAAAGTCGCCCTGTAGGGACGACCAGCAAGAAGGGGATCCCCGCTTGATTGCGGGAGGGCGGTAGCTCTTCCGCTTGATCTGGAGCAGCCCCCCAAAATGGCAGACGAAAGACTGGCCATAGAAATTGGCTCATCATTAGGCTGCAGACAGCCAAAGTCAAATTTACCACCAGGCAACTATAAACCAGCGCGGATGAGACTGGGTGAGATCTACCTCTCTTAAATCCTAACTATCTTTTCTACCTGCATAAGCTGCTCAAGGTACTTTCCCCCCTGTGGAGAGGGAAGGGAGATTCTATCCCACCCTCCAAAAACAGTGGCGACTGACTATCCAGGGGAGTTTAAAATGTTGCAAGAATAACTTGATTCTAATTGAATTTTTATCTTTTTAAAAATTTGTGGACTAAAAGGTTTTTTATTCTTATTGAAGATCAACTACACAGAATATAATAGAAGTGGAACAATTAAATACTATGACAGAAGATTCAACTGATCAACAAACACAGTTAATGGAAAACCCAGAAAAGGGACTGACAACATGGAAAAGGGAAAAGACTTTTTATATAAACCAGAAGAAACCTGAGGATCAAGAAGAAGAACAGACTGAAGAGAAGATAAACAGTTCAGGACAATTATGTCAAGATGCAAAAATAGAGAGATGATTTGTTAATCCTTTCAAAAAAATGGCAACCGGATGGATTTTTCTACTTCAAAAAACATGCATAACAACACAAGGAGATTTATTTGATGACTTAAAAGCACGGACATGGAAGACGAGTTGGCAAAGAAAGAAAGCTACAATAAGACTGAAGAAAACTGGGGTTTTGACTTATTAGTGAGAATTAAAATAGAACATACCCAAATAGATAAGAAGTATATTTTGAATGCTAGATTTTGTTATAAGCTGAGATAAAGAAAACTTTGGTCATTTAAAACTTGGAAGTATAAATACTAACAGTTAAATTTGAATATTGATTTGCTTATAAAGGTTAAATGTAAAAGTAATTAATATATATATATAAGCTAAAATCTATTGATGAATATAAATATGTTTTTACTTAGTTGTTATAATAAAAACAATTAGCTTAAATATGAGATAGTAAATATTAAGAGAAAAAGAGAGGAAGTATTAAATATTGAAATAAGAGAAATTTTGGTTATTAAATTTAACATATTTGGAAATTAACAGAAAATAAGAATGTTATTACTGTATTATCAATTGATCGATGTAAGATGGTGAGAAATAGAATATATTCAAATAGATAAGACGTGCATCCTGAATATTAGATCTTGCGATGAATTGTGATAAAGGGAACTGGAGTTATTTAAAACTTGGAACTTATAATTATTAAATGTAAATATTAATGGGAAACTAAAAATTGGGAAAAACCAATTAGGACATTGATTGTCTATAAAAATTGAATGTTAAAATAACTAGGAAATGTATAAACAAAAAATTATTGATAAATGTAAGAAAGTTATTTTTATTTAATCAATATAATAAGAATTGTATTAATTTAAATATGAGACAGTAAATACAAAGGGGAAAAGAGAGGAAATATTTAATGTAATAGTTTGAGATCTGTACTAAAGATCTTGAATTATTGAATTATTATTGAATTATTGATAATTATTGATAATTACCGTATATGCTGGCGTATAAGATGACTTCCGGAAGTGCTAAACTCGGCACCAAAGACGGGGGTCGTCTTATACGCTGAGTCGTCTTATACGCCGGAAATACTGGTAGTTTCCGGCGTATAAGACGAAGTTCTAGGAATGCGGCTCGGCGACAAAGACGGGGGTCGTCTTATACGCCGGGTCACCTAATACGCCGGCATATACGGTACTGAATTATCGATTAACTCAGCTGCCACATTGCTTTTTAAATATTTAAATGTACAACTAGAAAATCAATAAAATTTTCTTTAAAAAAAGTTTTGTCCAAGATGGTTGTTAACTCAATAAATATATGTCTTGGTAGATTTAGAGAATAGCAATTATCTTCCTTTCTGTCCTATATAACATACCAAGATGAACAAATTTCATTCTTTATTTCCTTCTACATTGGACATATAATCCATAAAACGCTCTCAACATTTCAAATAAGCCTGATTAAGTCATTTAAATTCCCCACTGAGGAACTAAGATACAACAACTTTATTAAAGCTTTTCTTTCTTGATGGTAAATAATAGTCACTGAAAATCAGGATAAAGAATAACAGAATAATAGAGTTGGAAGAGAGTCTTCTAGTCCACCCCCCTCATCAAGCGCAAGTCTCTATACCATTCCAGATAAATGGTTGTCCAATCTCTTCTTAAAAATCCCCAGTGATGGAGCTTATTTAAAGACAAGTAACAATAAGACTTTTTACTCACACTGGGGTTTTTGTCCTCATCATACTTGTCAGCGTGGTAGAGCATGTACGCCTTGTATGAGGACATCGAAACAACAGCCATATTGCCTCGGACAGAGAGATAAGGGCTGCTTTGAAAATCAGCATGCAACCCCTTAGTTGAGCTGTCCAATCTAGTTTGCCCTAACTGGAGGGCCTTGGCTTCTTCTGACAGCTGTTCTCCTATTTCTGTGGAACTGGAGAATGTTTGGTGAAGGTCCACATTCGGAGCTACTCCAGTTGCAGAAGAGTCCTGATTGCCCTGCTTTAAGACACTCAGCATCTGGGCAAAGACATTGAACATACGGAAATCATGATCCCGTTCCAATTCAAAGCGTCGCTGCTCCAGCTGGATTCGGCGCTCCTCCACTTCCAAGTCTCGCTGGAGACGGCGTTCCTCCATCTGCAGAAAGCGCTCCTCCATTTCCCTCTGGGCAGATAACGTCTTCAACAGCAGGGCATCCAGAGGGTCCTTTAACCGCTGGCCTTTCCTTTTCTTCCTCAAGCGGTGCAAAGTAGAAAAACCTGGCCATGCCCCTAGACTTTGGATCCGGGATGAAGAAGCTGCATTGGGTTCCCTGAAACCTAAGAGTAAGCAGATTTAAGAATAATTAACCCTAACAACGGCCTTTCTTGCAAAGATCAAGCCTGCTAGAATGATTATTTGCTAATCTTTAATTATCTGACTCTTGACAAACTCTGAGTAAATGAGTTACTACACTAAGTAATATTGAGCAATGTACATTTTTCTCTATATAATAGGTAACGTCTGTTGCACAGAGACAATGCAGCTGAAACCCCCCAGTGCACTATAACATAAAATATATGATTACTGTGGCTAGATTTACTGAATACACTAAACTATAAATGAGGGGAAAAAAAACATTTTGGCTTGGTGGGTCATGCAAATCTAGGCACCATCCCATCCAGCATTTCTCCTCAGACCAAGACTATTGTACAGTGCCACATAAATTCAATAGGCAAAATGACCGTGTGCAAAGGTTAAGAGATATCATAGTCTTACCAAACCTCCAGTCATAATTATAAGTAGCTCCAAGTAAAGGATTAGGGTCCTGTAATAGATTATAACACTCATAAGGCTTCATTAAAAATAGGCACCTAAGTGAATTCATCTGCTTCAGCTAAATAACTTCCATCACCATGCAGAATTCATCCTATATAGAAGATTACCTCAAAAAAGTTTATCTTCCAACTTCATTTACATTTTCTGCTGAAATGAAAGGCAGAACCCATTGTACAGTTATGTCTGAATGCATTACTCTGGATATACTGCACAGAAGTATATCCATTATTTGAGACCATCATTTTCTCTATACACTGGGCTGAATAAGAAATAGTATATTTTATGAGGCCGGGAAATCGAGCTGCTATCAACATTTTGTAGTTTGTGATGTCTCAGTGACAACATTCAGTCTTTTTGTTTTTGATCTATGTTATATATAACACCCTGTGATATATCAATATAGTTCTGGCTCTAAGCATTTTAATAAAGCTAATTGGTTTTTTTTAAAAAAACTTACCAGTTTGTTTACTGCTAAACAAGCTAATATGATGGGCTGAATCTGTATTTCCACATATATTTCTACAAAATATAAGTGGCAGTAACAAAAAAAAATACTTAAAGAAGCACTGAGAATTGTGACCCCATCATCCTGGATGATACTAAGCTCTGGGTAAAAGTAGCACATCATTTTGAGACCTCAGAAGAATAACAGTGATTTCCTAAAACATTGTTAAATGGACAATTCTATCTGAAATATGTCATCTCTGCAGATTCTAAGACCCAACGACTTCTGAGAAACCAAAACTGATGAAAAAGACAATATTTGCTAAGTAACCATCTTATTTTATGAATCCCCATGTTTTGCTCTCAACGAAAAATAGCTCATTTCCTAAATTTTTCCATCACCAATCAATCATCTTCTGCTCAGATTGCTAAAAGCAAGTTCCCAAAGAATGCTCTTTCCTCTTGGCCTAAAAAATAATAAAAGAATTCCACCAATCAACAGTCTTACTACTACAAGTTTCTTCTGCTTTAACAAAGCAGTTGGTCTTATGGACCTGGGAAAAATGAATGAAGAGAACAGTAGCAAAAACTCACTTTGCGACCGCTTATGTAGACTTGAAGATTTTAAGTACCGTAACTAAGTACTGTATATTTGCTTGGTGGAGTTTAAACATCCAGGGTACTTTTGAACTTGTAATCAGAACTAATTGATCTTTATGAGATCCAAAGTCCATCTACTTCTGTCCTGAATTAATTTAAACCTCAGTTTTAAATATTGTCTGTCACGATTTAAAGCTACTGTTTGCACATCAAACAGGACACACGGCAAAGGCCAGTTTCCAAGCATGCTTCAGTTGTGTTGATCCAAAATATTTTGGATAGATGTAAAAACATTTCTAGTAACAAAGTTACTCATTACCAGAGACTATTTTGAAGCATTTGCTATTTCATCATTTCACTCCCCCAAATAGGCTGATTTGGGAAGGATTTAGACAACACTGGAGACGGGGAGCATTCAGCCTCTATTCAGTCTCCATCCATTGGGGTCTACCTCTGAGTGTTGTAGGCACCATTTTAATAAGGGAAAGTAGTGATTCTTCCTGCTTCATCCAGTCTGGATAACTGTGCAGAATGAATCAGGGTCTACTGTTTACCCACAGTAAAACAGATTGGCAACAGAAAGAGTTCACAACCCTCTGTATAGCAAAATAATGACAATTCCTACAGGGCCCCAAATTCTCCAAGCATAGGAGAGAAGGTGAATAACCAACTCCATAATCAACTCTCTGCATGGCACTGCTTAGTGAGGACAAGTTAGCAGACCAACTTCACTTCTTGCACTGTGATCCCATTTCTCTTTTCCCCCCGTGTTCAGTTGAAGGAGAGAAAGGAAGTGAGAAACATTCCCTAAAAATGGCAGAACTTTAAGAGGAAGTATTGGGGAGGGAAGAAGGATTAATGGCCGGGGCAGTCATGTTCCTCTCTTGGGTTTCCCCCCCCCCCAGACTTTATTGCAGGATTCTGGAAAAGAGGATTACAATTTACTGTGTGCTGTTTGATTGCTTCCCATCACCCAAGCCGTTTTGGCAGATGCCCATTTAACAGGATGTCCACTTGGGTCCTGCAAAAAGATCCAGCCCTTCTCCTCAGGGCAAAAGCAATTCAGGTTGCAAGAAGATAGGAAACCTTTCATAATGTCAAGCATCTTTGTGGGCAATGAAACCCATCCAGGAGCTTTAGGGTTCCCGCCACCCAGCTTTCCTTCTGGTCCTTCAAGTGTGCTCCTAAAGAACCCGGGATGTGGCCTCTGCTCAGCCTCTTTCAGGAGCAGGGTAGAGGCTCTGCAGGATGGCCTGAATCCATGCAGCGTTCCTACCTGAGAGGGAGACAGTGGTCTCAATGGGGACCTCCACCCTGGAGATGGGAGAGTCAGTCTGGGACCTCTCCAGGAAGGCCCTGTCTATCTCGTGCTCCTCAGCAGAGCCCCCGCAGGGCTGGTAAGTAGTGAGAGAAGGCAGAGGCTCAGGCATCAAGCACTGGTCTTCTGAATCCACCTCCTCGCATTTGATCTCCATCTGCTCGGCGGGCTGAGAGGGTGGGAAGGTCAGCGCAGAAGAGGGGCCCAAGTGGGGATGGTAGCTCTCCACCACCCCGCCCGGGATCCCTTGCTGCGCCAGCACGTAGCCGCCGTTGCCGTTGCCGGTGGCGCTGTAGACGAGCGGAGGGCGGCTGGCCAGGACGCGGTCCATCACCTCGTAGAACTTCCACGTCCTGCCCCCGCGCGGAGCCTTGTTGTTGTCCTTGATGCGCCGGTACTCCAGCTTCATTTTCTTGATCTTCTCCCGGCACTGATCACCGGTGCGGTGGATGCCCTTCTCGCGCAGCACTTCGGCGATCCGGTTGAAGACGTGCTGATTCCGCAGGCAGCTCTCCAGCTCCGCCTGCACCGACTCATCAGCCCACAGGTGCAGAAGCTCCACTACCTCGGGATCTGACCAGTTAGTGCCCCGCTCGTACTTCTTGCCTCGAAAATCCATGCTTTCTTGGTGTCCGATTTCTCTACCGCGCCCACCTCCCGGTTAAGCATCAAAAATCAAAAGCCCCAGAGAAAAAAGACGCATGAGTGGAGGAGAGGCGAAAAGCCATGAAGCGGCTATTGCTTGACCCTCGCCTTTCTGGGACTGGCACGGGCTTGGCTTGGTTCAATTTATTAGTCCTGGAAAACCTAGCGCTTTTGTTCATTGGGAAGGGAAAGGGTGAGAAAGATGGCCTTTTTTACCTACCCCCTTCTGCAGCTCTAGAAGCCGCAGAACGGATCGGATAAGTTGGCACGGCTCGGCACGGATTCCAGCTTTTTTTTTTTTTCTTTTTGACAAAGCGAGTTCCCGGGTAAAGCAAGCTGGGGGCGCAAGTAAGCATGTTCATATCCGGTGTGATGGCACATGCGTGCTTCCTTTATTCCGGGATAACTTTGGTCCGTGTCAATCACACGATCCGCAAGTCGGCCAGGCTGGGCTAAACGAGGCAGAAGCAGAGGAATGCATTGGGGCGGGACCTCTGTAGGCCACGCCTCCGCAGACCGCCCTCTTTGAATAACTCGAGCGAGAGAGAGCGAGACAAATTGAGCATCGTTGTTAAGTAACTGGAGTGTGTGTTAAACGCAGTGGTCCAAATCTCTGAAAGTATTACAATTGCTAGAGAGGTGAAATTGTTTTTTTTAATTTTTACAGCGACTAAATCCGTTTTTTTGATTTTGGAAAAGGTCCCGTGTAGTCTTCAGGGGAATAACGTAAGCAAGAAGATTGTATAGATGCAGTCACTGATTGGTTTGATATAGCATGCTAAGACACACAAGCCAGCCAAGTTATGTGTAAGGTTTTATGTGAACTTGGGACTTGCATATTACACTAATTATACTATGGATTATATGGTTCGGATTAGGGTAATGTGTGATCCCTGCAGTCAATCAGAAAACAGGTTTGTAAATCAAGCATTATGGCATTTAACACTGCATGAGATGAGCCAATGGTGGCTTATTCAACAAACCATAATTTAAAATGTGTGGCTTATATGTGAATCAGCTTTCTAAAAAGTGGCTCAGGCTGATTCATGCATCATGCTAACTATGCTTTGTTTAATTATTTATGAATAAATCACAATTGGCTAAGTTGGCTTGGCAAAGACAGAATTAAAGCATTCCTGAAGCTAGTGGACCCTTGCCTTAATCCAAAGAAAGCAGTTTTTTCCTATGGGAATGAAGTTTTTTTCAACTGCTCTATCCCTTACGTAGTCACATATGTAGCTTAACTGCAGTTCTGGCTCTTATGTTATAAATATGTTTTTACTTCTCTATTAGCTTGCATGGGGAGATAATACCCCTTTACCAATTTGGATTTTTTTTTTCTTCAAAAAAGGAAATTAACTGAGGGCATGGAGTGTCATGTTTTAAACTAAACACATTGTAGCATATCATGAATACTGGAAGAAAACAGCATTGTAGAATTATTTATACATATATTTAAAACAAAACCAACTTGATTTATGGTTTAGCATAATATGTGAACCCAGCCAAGGGTGTTATCAACAAACAATTCTAGTTAATAGAAATGGGTATTTCCAAACTTAGGAAGTTTCCTAATCATCAGATAGACAATTTTACTAAGGATCTATCTGCCATTTGAAATAGGGAGGTCTCAACAAGATTGCCCCTAAACAGTCTTGGCTGATCCTAGTTCTTAGCTGATCCCAGAGAGCTCCTTAATTTATAGAAGTCTTCCAGGAGATGAAGCAATGGAAGCTACATTTGGGATGCTGGTGGAGGAAAACAAAGAGCAAATCTGGACCTGGATTGGGGGAGCACATCTCTCTTGATCCTCTTAGGCTTCTCAGCAACTTTTGATAAGTTCAATTATTATATCCTATGGAAATGGGGTCAAATTTTTTTTCACTGATTTTGCTCTTTCCTGAGTGGTTGGGAATAGTCAGTAGCAGGAAGAACAAGAGGTTAGCATTGTAGGTCCTTGACTGTAAGATCCCAAAGGGTTTGATGCTCTCACCTCTCCTATTTAACACTTATATGAAGCTGCTGGAAAAGATCACCTGTTAGTTCAGGATGAAATACCAGTACTATCTTGATGACATCCAGCTATTCATCACCACCCTGGGTTGAGCCAGAGATACAGTGGATGTCTTGGACAGGTGCCTGCAAACTGTCTAAATCTAAAATGGGATGACACCAGATTGAAATTGAACTCAAGCAAAACAGTTGCTGTTTGTGCAAAAAGGATCTTTTTCACTAATGATAACTATTGAATAGAGAACACCACCCCTAAAGAGCAGGTCTATGAATGGGTTGGCGGGGGGGGGGGATTCCTGTTAGATTCAGGGCTGCTTAAAAGGCAGGTGGAGGCTCAGGATAGGTGGTCTTTCACCAGACATTTAGCTTATTGCAATATACTCCCCCCCAATTCTGTTTGTGAAGGGCACCTGGAAATTGCAACTGGTACAAAATATGGAGATTGCAGCTGATGCAAGATACGGTAGGCTGTATATTTGTTAAAGCTGTACTAATCACGTAAAATGTATATAACTTTCAAGCTACATTGATTATTAATAAGTTTCTGGGTGCAATTGAAAGCGATGGTCTTGACGTATAAAGCTTGGTCTTGAAATATTTATCGGACTTCCTCCTCTGCATAAAAGTGACCTGCCCAACTTGTCCAATGAGGACTTTTAATGCCCCCCCCCAATGCAGTGAATGGTTGCCTCTCAAGCAATGTTTCTGTATGGAAGCCCTCATGTTGGGGAACACTTTCACTCTTGCTCTTAGATTGCCATCCTCCATCCTCATTTTTGGCCTTCCAGACACCATTAATGACTGATTTGTTCTGTCAGTTGACCTAATGACTAATTGGTCACTATTGTATTTACTGCTTTTCTGTCATTTGAAGTTTTGTACACTGTTTTTACCCAATAAACCAGAAATCATGTTGGTTGTATCTGACAGTATAGAAACACAATAAAATACAGGTAGTCCTCGAATTGCAACAGTTCACTTAGTGACCATTTGAAGTTACAACGGCACTGAAAAAAGTGACTCATGACCATTTTTTTACACTTAACAACCATTGCATTATCCCTATGGTCACGTGATGAACATTCAGACGTTTGGCAACTGACTCATATTTATGACATTTGCAGTGTCCTGGGGTCAAGTGGTCACCTTTTGTGACCTGAGAAACCAAGTTTCACTTAACAACCATGTTACTAACTTAACATCTGCAGTGATTCACTTAACAGCTGTGGCAAGAAAGGTTGCAAAATAGGACAAAGCTTGCTTAACAAATGTTCTATTTAGCAACAGAAATTTTGGGCTCAATTGTGGTCTTAAGTTGAGGATTACCTATATGGTTTTAGCCCAGTTGTATGAACTTATTATTTGCTTTTCTTTTCTTTCTTTCTTTTTTTTTTTTTTTTTGCAATACACAGATATTCCTCTGGAAATTCTTCAGAAGAAGAAACTAAATTGCAAAGGTCCAAGATACTGATTTTTAGAGGAAAGAGACCCTAGCAACAAAACAGTGTTTTGTCAAGCTTCTATGCCTTGACCACAATCTTTGCACAATCTTTAACTAGTGCACAAAAAAGGTTAATTATTGGATCACTGTGAAATATCAAAATCTTTTATGTGTAAAGAGATTGCTGGGGGGTGGATTATGAATATTTTAATTTGTCTTTCCCTTATGCTTTAATGAAACATGAACACTTCAATGAAAGAAAATAGGCAATCAGGAAGCAGCACTAGTTGTGAAAGAATCTTGCCTGCAGATGGCACTAAGTCCTCACTTTTTAATCAGGAAAAGGCAAGCAAGCTGACTTCTCAAGCTAAATTTAGAGGTTCAGTAAGGCTGGGAAAAAGGGTGCGTGACAAGTAGTTTCCGTAATTCAAGGATTTGGTCAAGTGTTGTGTTGATGCTGTTGTGTTGTTGCTGTTTGGTTTTCCAAAGTGGATTTTTTTTTCCTATAAAAATGATGTCAGTAAGGACAACTCATTTCACAGGATGAAACCAATAAATCAAAGATTTGCAGATTAACTTTAGAGGATTTGATGAGGCATATGCAAACATGATACAGATCTATCTAGGGATTTTTTTTGGGGGGGGAGGGCTTACCTGTGGTTAGAGTCTACAAATGTTTAAAAGTATCAGATCTGGGCAGCAAAAATCTAAATGGCAGTAAAGAGAAGCTGTCTTGTCTCTTTGTTGCCATTTAATAATTGTCTGGAGGTTTGCCATCCAAATCTGATAGATCATCTGAAGTTGCACAGTTTATTTGAAGCAAGTCTGAATTGCATTGCCTTATAACCACAGCAATACATGGTTTATAATACCATAACATGTTTCCATTTCTCACTGCATCATTTTTTGACAATTCACTTGAAGTGATATCCACTCAACCTAGAACTAGCACAAAGCAAAGTTAGCATAATATTTGCTGCCCCTGTTTCAAACCCTTTCCTGCTTCTGTCGCTGTCTGCTTCACTGCCATATAGGATTGTCCTGATTTGTGAGTTTACCATCCTTTATAGACAACGTATTTGTTTTCCTCCTTGAGCTTTGGGCCATCCCTTTCACAAGCCTATAAGGCAGACATGTCAAACACAAGGCCTGGGGGCCAGATGCGGCCCACAAAGTGGTTTCATGTGGCCCACGAAGCCATCCTGGAAACAGTGAGGGAACGGCCCCTGCTGCCTTGGCCCTGGCCCAGGCTGGCCGGGAGCCAATGTACAATTTTGTAGTGGCCATCTATGCTGAAATGCATTCAGTCTTAGCTCCACAAGGCCATCCAGAAACAGCAAGGAACCAGCCCCTGCCGCGTCGGCCCCGCTCCCTGGGTACATGCTGGGGAGGTGTCACCCTTTGTGAGGAATGAAGAAATGCACCATGCCTTGGCGCTTGCCCCGGTCCCATCTCCTTCTGTCAGAGACCCTCAGATCTGTCCCACTCCTGCCCAGGCCCCCACAGGCATCCTTGACACAAACGATGTAGAGCTGGCCATGCCCACCCAGTAAGCCACACCCACTCCATCCATACCCACCCAGTAGGCCACACCCACTCTGGCCACACCCACCCGGCCCCCCCAAGGGCAACCACAATGCTGATGCAGCCCTCAATGAAATTGAGTTTGACACTCCTACTATAAGGAAATAAACATCAATCGGAACAGGAATAGGAAGCCCACATCTCCAAGACTGCTGGCAGTAGACTCCATTGCTCCTCCCACACTTATCTGAACCTTTCCCAAGTTTTTAACAAAGTGAAATAAAGAAGCTGAAAGGAAGACATCTGGGCAAATAATACTCCCAGGGAGGGGGAGGCAGGCCATCCCCTGCTTGTGCAACTGAGCCACTGAGTAATC